TCGGCCCGCTCCCCGGGCGTGAGCTGCAGGAGGAAGGGCCTCAGACACCCGGGACCCACACCTGGAGCCAAGGCTTCCTCCCCACCCACCAGCCTCGGAGGCCACAGAGCTGGGTTCAAAGCCAGCTCCACTCTTAGCAACTGCGGATGGCCATGCTGACCGGGGCAGGGCCACAGCCACAGCCACAGCCACAGCCACAGCCAAGCCTGGGCTGTCACCGTCACCGGGGATGCCCGAGGGCAGGGCCACAGCCACAGCCTGGTCTGTCACCGTCACCGGGGAGGCCCGAGGGCAGGGCCCGGCACACAGTAAGCACCTGGGAAACACGCCACCACCTCCATGCCGGCGCCGGGGGCTCAGGAAACCCACGGGGCCCAGTCCATTTCCTCATCAGCACCACCGTTCTGACCCATTTTCCAGAATCGGAAAGAAATCGAGGTTCCGAGACATGACAGGCCTCCCCAGGCACAAACTCTGCCCCTGTGCGGGCGGATCCCTTTGCCTGGTGCCCCACCCCCCCAGCCCGTGTCCCAGCTCAACTGCCCTTCCTCTGGGATGCCCTCCCTACGAACAAATGGCCTTGTGACAGAGGTATCTCCGGTCCCCACTCCTCGGGTGAGGCCCCAGAGCTCCTAGGGGCAGTCACACTCACAGATACAGAGAACTTGTCCCTGGGCGCCCGATGGGAGGGGCTGTGGGCATGGGTGAAAAAGGCGATTAAATACAAATGAGTCCTTACAGAACAGTCATGGTGACGGAAAGGGTAGCATAGGGAATAATCTATATTCCCTACTACATCAGGGTAATACCATACGCGCTGCACATTACTGAATATTATAATAACTATGTATGGTGTCAGGTGGGCACTAGTTCCATCAGGGTGACCACTCCATACGTTATACAAATGTCTATCACTGGGTTGTACACTTGACACTAATACATCAAAACTGTAATTTAAAATAAACAGCCCCAGCTGGTTTGGCTCAGTGGATAGATTGTCGGCCTGCAGACCAAAGGGTCCCGGGTTTGATTCCGGTCAAGGGCACATACCTCAGTTGCAGGCTCCTCCCCAGCCCAGCCCCTGGTTGGGGCCCGTGCAGGAGGCAACCAATTGATGTGTTTCTCTCACATCGATGTTTCTCTCTGTCTTTCCCTCTCTCTTCCACTCTCTCTAAAAATCAATGGAAAAATATCCTCAGGTGAGGATTAACAAAAATAATAATAATAAATTAGTATTTTAATATTTTAAAAAATAAAAATGAACAAGAGGGGCTGCCAGAGCTTAGAGGGAGACAAGCTGGACTTGCACCCCAGTCTCTCTGGCTCAGAGACAGGCGCTGGCGGCGAGGCCGGCTTCCTGGAACTCCCGCCTCCCACCCAGCGGGAGGGAGACGGAACAGTCCTCCTCTGTCCCCTCCCGCCCAGCACCAGCGGAGGAGCAAGTGAAGACTGGTCCCCACCTTGTTTGTTCTGCGGCTGCGAGAGAGGTGGGGACGGCAAGAGGCCTCTCTTTTTAAAAAAATTTATATTTTTATTGATTTCAGAGAGGAAGAGTGAGAAACATCAACAATGAGAGAGAATCATTGATCGGCTGCCTCCTGCATGGCCCCTACTGGGGATCGAGCCGGCAACCCGGGCATGTGCCCCTGACCGGAATCAAACCCGGGACCCTTCAGTTCACAGGCTGACGCTCCATCCACTGAGCCAAACCAGCCAGGGCTCAAGAGATCTCTCTTGGCAGGCGCAGGGGGCACAGATGCCAGCGCTCCTGCCCGAACTGCCCCCCGGGCTCCAGTGTGGAAGGAGAGCCGGGACTGTAGAGTCATTCGGGCCTGGGCTCCAAGCCCAGCTCTCTGTCTACCTACCACTGAGCACCGGAGCTCCGCCTCCTCGCCCGTAACATGGGTACAACTGCAGTAGCTTTTCATAGGTTTGCAGAAAGAATTAAATGAGATCAGGCATGTGCAGTACCAGCCCTGGGATTAAACTGGGGGCTGTCACTGATTATAATCAGAGGAGGAAGGAAGGGTTAGGAGCGCAGGTTCTGACATCAGATATAGCTGGTCCCTGTCCTGGCCCCGGAACTAGCAGCTGTGTGATCCTGGGCAAATCACTTCCTCTCTAGGCCTCGGTTTTCCCACCTGTAAAATGGCACCACACCTCCTAGAGCTCTTGGCAGATGCCAGTGACCTCAGAAATGTGAAGCACCCACTCAGTGCCAGCACCTAGTAGGATCTCAGGGGACAGTGGCCCCATCCACCAGCCAGGTGGGAGACGGAGACCTGGACCCGTGTCCATTAGCAGCTGTCACATGACTTCGGGCTTTGTTCTGTGGGAACAAATGCCACATGTTGAGGCAGTAAGGAGTGTCTGTTGGGGGTACAAGCATTGAGGGGGGAAATTAGACACCCCAGAAACAGCCCTGTCCCCCTCACTGGGGACCCCAAGTCAGGAAGAGAAGAGGCGTTGGTTACATGCCTCCACTGTCACACACCCCTAATGACCACACCCCTTTCCAAGGCCCCCTCCCCCACTGGGGCTGGGCCTCATGGACACCCCCTCAGGGAGCTCCCAAGGCCAGAGGCCCTTCGGACCCCCCGCCATGATGCACCCCCTCCTCTAAGGAACCCCAACCTGAACAGCATCGGGGTTTCTAGGGGCTCCACAGCTGCACATCTGAAGTCACCCAGCCTGGGGTTCAAACCCCTGCCAGCCGCTCACCGGCTGCTCGTAGCCTTGGGCGAGGCACAGGGATCAGCATTAGCATTTTAATTGATGATGAAATCATAACTGTGAGATAAACCGCCATCATTCTCAGGATTCTGCCGCTCTCACCCTGTGCCAGGGACCGGCCCATGTGCTTCCCACGCGCACGCGCACGCTCACCGGATCCTCGCTGCCACCCGAGGCCAGCGGCTCCCAGTGGGGCCCACTCGCTCCCCAGGGACACTTGGCAATGCCTGGGGACAATGTCACCATGTGCAGGGAAGAGCAGGCTACTGGTGTCGAGTGGATCAAGGCCAAGAATGTGGTTAAACATCCCACAATGCAAGGACAGCCCCAAACCAAAAGGTCTACAGAGCTGAGGCTGCAAGGCCCTGCCCTGCAGGTGGGCACTGCTCTAATTCCCATTTACAGAGGAGGAGACTGAGGCTCAGAGAGGTTAAGTGCCCGAGGCCACAGAGCAGGTTCACAAGAGTCAGGAATCGAACCTGGGCAGCTGGCTGCAGAGCCTGGGCCGCCCTGACCCTCGGCCTGGGCACAGCCGGGTGCCGGTGCCGGGCACCATCCGAGCCCGGACTGTATCGTGTTCAAGCTGAAAAGCTGCCTGGAAGGAAGGACCCCTGCTACCAGCTCACGCGTCTCTGAGCCTTAGTTTCCTGCCTGTACAATGAGGTTGCGATCACAGCGTCTGTGCCACAGGGCTGCTGAGACCTGGGGTTGGTCGGGTGTCTCTTGGGCCCTTATTAAGCATTTGAAAAACGCTTCAGCTCTAGCGGGTTTGGCTCAGTGGATAGAGCGTCGGCTGGGGGACTGAAGGGTCCCGGGTTCCGTTCCAGTCAAGGGCACGTACCTTGGTTACAGGCACCATCCCCCGCCCTGGTCGGGGTGTGCGGGAGGCAACCAGTGTGTCTCTCTCGCATCGATGTTTCTCTGTCTCTCGTCTCCCTTCCACTCTCTAAAACTCAATGGGAAAATCTCCTGGGTGAGGATTAACAAAGAGAAAGCTCTCATCACCATCACCCTATGAAAGCCCCAGTTGCTGTCCTCACCCCTCCCCGTGCACACACAGCCTGGCATCCACCGCCCACGTCCAAACTCACCAAGACCCTGCAGCCTGGCCCCTGGTGAGTCCCCAGAGCCGGTGCGCAGAGCCGGGCTGCTCCGTGTTAGGGATGAGGAAACTGAGGCTCGGAAAGGCCAGGGAGCGAAGGGCCTCTGGATCTTCACCCTGGATTCCTCCCACACCACAGCACCCAGGCGTGTGTACACACCAACGCGCACACACACACACACACACACACACACACACGGGCCTGCTCTGCTGCTCTGGCACTTCCCTCCCCAAACACTACCCTGTTCTCTGTGGTCAGGAAAGAGCTCCCTCCCTGTTCTAATTTGCCCTGTAGACTGTAATTACACATTCCAACCCCTTGCCAGCCTCAGGGGGGGCGGGGGCGGGAGAGGCTCCCCTGGGGGCCGCGGGAAAGGCCTGCGCTTACTCGTGGCACCAGGCAAGCGCCCGGGGCTCTGCGGAGGGCCTGTGCCTGAGCGTGAACATGCCCACGGCGCACGCTGCCTCACGCCGCCGCGACTGCAAACGTGTTTGTTGTCAGCATCCAAGCCCTTGGTTTGGATATAAATACGAGACTGTCGTCCACACAGACGGAGGCTGTGGCGGGCGGGCGGAAGGCGGATCTGAATCTCAGAGCCAAGGAGCAGGACCAGAAGCCATTCACCTATTCATTCATTCATTCATTCATTCAGCAAATATTTACTGAGCACCTACTGTGCGCCAGGTACTGGGGACACAGCCTGATGAATATATCAGACTATGCATTCTTGGCAAGATCTCTTCAGAAGTAATGTATTCTTCTCCATGCATTATATCAGTTCATTCATTCAGCAAATATTTACTGAGCACCTACTGTGCGCCAGGTACTGGGGACACAGCTGCGAGCAAGACAGAGGAAAGCCCTGCCCTCCGGGGCTGACCTGGAGGCCGGGGCAGAGTCCACGGCTAGAGAGCAGAAAGCAGGTCCTGCCTGCTGTGTCCCCTGTGCAGGCCAGACGGCAGGTCCCGGGCGGCGTGCGGAGACTCAGGG